AGGAAACACATTTGGGCAACTTTTAATCTCCCAATCAGCTGCGCACTTCAACAATGTTACTCACGCTCTGTGCACTTTTTGAGAACACCCCACCACCACATCGTTCTTTGCAAGACTGACTTTTTTTTTTTTTTTTTTTTTTGTCATTTTAATCCCCCAAGAATAGCTAAATTTAAGGTGTAATAGCCCTAGGTGGGGTCCGTGATTCAGGTGGAGGTGTATGACCGTCTGATCCTTTTGAAGGATCATCAGACGACTGTCGTAACCCATCATCAGTCTCACTCCTATTCATATCTTCAATCATGCGTACCACCTCTTGCATAGCCGGTCTTTGATCAGGTACAGTGGATACACAAGCCATCGCAATTTGCAACAACTGAACCATTTCCTCCTCAATATTGTGATACCTCATCAATTCCACATCAAAAACCTCAGCCGTCCATTCTTCACGGACCACGGACTGGACCCACCTAGGTAAATCAATTCCTTCCTCACCCAATGATGCTTGATTAGGCGCTTTCCCAGTTAATAGCTCTAATAACAATACACCGAAACTGTACACGTCCGATTTGAAAGAAACCTTGCGAGTCTCAACTACTTCTGGGGCGCGATACCCTGCCACGCGATTGGTTGGAGTTGTGTTGCCAAAAAGCGGGTTCAGTCCGAAATCCGAAATCCCCGCATCATGGTCGGGTCGGAGCAGGATGTTAGAGGATTTTATGTTCCCGTGTACTACTTTTCCGGACACGTGTAGGTGTGCCAGGCCTCTTGCCGCACTTAGTGCTATTCTCATTCGGTTGTCCCAGTCTAAAGGCGTACGGCCTGAACCTCTACTACCTACAAAACGAATTACCGGAAGTTCCGGTTAACAGTCCCACGTAATTTGACCGAAAAAACTAATTGGAATAAAATTAAATAAAGATTATTAGTAAACGTGCAAGCAACACTTGGGAAACTATGAAAGTTGAAACATAAGAAATATATAGATAAGGAAATGTGAAATAATTTAAAAGTAAAGTAACAAGAAGTCTTTATGTTATGTAAAGGATTTACTACAATGATGATGTCGGTGGCTCCATGGTGCACATATTCATGGATGGTTTATGTGTAAATAAACCCAAAAAAAAAAAAAAAACAGACATCCAACTGCTAATCAAGTGATGCGTAATTAGCACTCTAAGAATGTTTGCACAGAAGCAGGAACTGGAAAAAGGAATCTCCCAACGTGCATTACCATAAAATTAAGTTAATATTCCTTACCCCACACTAAAAATTAATCTAATTTACACCCACTAATAAATTATGAAGAGAATTTCCATGACTGCAACAGTTAAAACATATTGAAGAAATAACAGAGGAATTGAAATCGTACCGTGAAGAAGAGCAGATAAGCTACCGGCAGGCATGAAATCATAAACAAGCAATTTCTCATCTTTGGAGTAGTAAAAGGCCCTTAAAGGAACCACATTGTCATGTTTAATCTTCCCTAAAACTTCCATTTGCATCTCGAACTCTCTTTTACTAACAGCCACTTCTTTTAACCTCTTAACCACCACAGTTGTTCCTTCTTCAAGCACTGCCTTGTAACTCGTCCCCACGCTACCTTTACCCAAAACCTCAGCTGAAGCCCTCAACAAATCCTCCAAATCAAAGCTGTAAATCCCTCCTTCGAAGAACACAAGTTTATTTCTCTCAGCCTCTGCTGACCCACCCGTGATATCATCTTTCGATGAAGAAGTTCCTGCTTCTGTCGCCATCGCACGTGACGTCGCCGCTGCACTGGGTTTTGGCGTCTTCCCAGGCTGTTCACGTCGTCGTTTTTTAAGACAAAATACCAGTAATAGCAGTAAAAGAAGAAGGAATACTGCACAACCGACGGCAATACCAACAATGGCCGCCGTTGAGAGTTTCTTAGACTTCTTGTGTCGCGGAATTAACGGTGGGTTTACAGACGGTGACGGAGCTGGAGATGGAAAAAATGAGGTACAAGGTTGCAATGGTCCTCCACATAGATCTAAATTTCCTGTGAATGCTGATGAAGGGAACTTGGTTAGAGTAGCAGGGATTGAACCGTTGAGATTGTTGTTAGACACATTGAAAGCTGACAGATTTCCAGGATTGATGCTTGGAAGATTGCCTGAGAAATTATTATTTTCCAGAAAAAGACCAGTCAAGTGGGTTAAATTGTTGACGGCGAAAGGGATTGCTCCAGTAAAATTGTTGGACGAGAGATCGAGTCGAGTTATCCGATTCAGCCCAGTCACACTCTCAGGAAATCCACCAGAGAACTCGTTGTCTTGCAAGTAGAGACTCCGAAGGAGGGTTAGATTGGAGAAATCGGAGGGGATCTCACCGTTGAGACGATTAGAGCGGAGACTGAGAACTCGGAGCTGACTCAGTTTGCCTATTGTGTTGGGCGGAATCGGACCCACTAGTCCAACAGCAGGGAGCCTTAAAGTGTAGACATACGAACGGTTAGCGTCGCACTCAACTCCGAACCAGTTGCAGGCCGAGTCGGACTCATTCCATTGCACGCGATTGGCATGTGGGGTTTTTGAGAGAAATGCAAGGAGGGCTTGCTTGTCTTGAGTCGGTTCCGAGCTGACTCGTCCATCACTCAGTGAAAAAACAAAAACTAAAAACAGAGAGAGTACGCACCTATAGTCAATGAACACTTCCATTTCAAAACAAAGAAGGATAAGAATGAAACTGACTGTTCTCTATATGCGGATTTCGAATGGTGGTTTCTGATAGTTGTTTTGTACAAAAGCAAAAATAGTGGTTTTCCGGTGAGAGTCCATGTAAGAGAGAGAGAGAGATATAGAGAGATTTTGTGGTGAAATGAGAAGTGAGAGAGAAGTGGTTTTGTATTGTAATAGAGAAGGTATTAGGTACCCGGGGCTCCCAAAAGGTGAAAATAAAGCCGAGTGAAAAACAGAACCATCGAGCTGGCATAAATGTGAAACGTTTTTTTACTTGCATAGTGTAGTAATTTCTTCATAATACAGCGTATTTTCTAATCACCCAAGTCGCAGTTTCAGCGCGTGGTGGTTTGTTGGCAATTGATGTATAGCCACTTGTTTGGACTATGCATGTGAGAATGAAGGACTATGGGTCCCTGTTCTATTCAACCTCACACAGTCACACTCACTTAAATAACTTGGGCCCGTCTGAAAGTCTCCTTTTATTAAAATGAATTCATATAATTAAGATAATTATAAATATTTAGAATATATGTATTTTTTTTGTATTTGGATTCTTTTTGTTAGATAGGAATTTCGAATAAGAGTAATATATCTTATTTTGATTTTATAAAAGATTTTTATTTTATCTTAGTTAAATAATATAAAATAAAATATATCTGGTTTTTGGAAAAAGGAAAAAGACACAAAATATTTATTTTGTAAAAGGCTAGAAGCAGACTTTCACTGAACCTATTACTCATTGATTAATACCACGGTCTCTACGGACGCGTGGGGTTTGTAATGTATTAGATACGGCCAAAAATACGAATTGGTAGTTTGATGAGCTGCAATTGTGCATCATATCTTGATGAAAAATAAAAAACTGATCAAACGGTCAGAAATGTCATGATGACTAAGTTGATAAAGAGTAACTTGAAGTCTGGAAATATTCAGCGTAGAGGTGATTTGACCAGTAAAAGTGTGGGTTTAGTTAAGCAAATTTAGTGGTGGTGATGACATATGGCATTTTGGTTAGAGGTTTTGCCACTGCCAAGCTTAGCTGGACAGAGTTGGGGAACTAACTTACTAACAACTGAGTCTCTCACCCACCCAATGGCAATGGCAACCTTTTTTTCTTAATACTATTACTATGTTCTTTATTTTATTATTTGGGGAGATACTTTTCGATTTTATTGTTTCTTTCTTTATTGTGTATTTATTCTGGTGCAATCAATGTTATTTTTCTTCATTTATAATTAATGTAATGTTTCATAAATTATGTCTTTTTGAATGTGAAACCAAAGAAACCGTACTACCATATTTATATTTATTATTTAATTACTAAAACTTTTTTATTAAAATTCAAACAATTTTGAATATCTTTCGCGTAACTTGAAATTGTTCAACTTGTTTAAAGCATGCAAGCCAAGTTTAGAAGTCAAATAAGATTGAAAAAAAGCAAAAGATTTTATCTGAATTTATTTTGAATTATACTTTTTGCCTTTTTGAGCGGCAGCTGAAGAAAATAGATTTTCAACTTCCTCGCTCAAGCAAGGCTAAGTAGCTACAACCATTTAAAACAATTAAGGGCTTTTTGATTTAGGGAATATTATATTAATAGGGAGATAAATTACTTTAAAGATTGATAAGAATGTTATATTAAATATGTTTTGTTAAATTATAATAAATTGATGGGTATGTTATATAGATTATTAAATTGTCCTTCTTTTTTATTATTATTTAGATTATTTCTTTTAACCCCTTATATTTGAGATTTTGCTAAAACATTCCAACTACAATAAAGTTTAAAAATTAGCCAAAACATCCCCAGCCACCCAAGACGACTGCCAGCCACCACCTTTGGCCATGGATTTGGCCAGATATGGCCAAAATGGATATGGTCGTTTCTTTTCGGCCATATCCATGGGGATTTGGTTGTTAACAGCTATGGATTTTGTCGAAAACGGTCAAATCAATACATGTTCGACCAAATCCAGTCGGTTCGTGCACTGTTACGGTGACTACCAGCGTTGGTGGCCGACGATCGGAGGTGATGGCCAGATCCGGCTATGGTCTTGAGTAATTTGGTTGAAGTACGAGGGTAATAATGTCTTAAAAGTCTTGTGTATAAGGATGAAATAGTCCATCAATATTCTTGTAAATTGTTTTCAAAACAAAGACGTTAGTGTCCAAAATTTTTATTAATTATGAGTAAAATTGTAACAAAATTAAAATTACTAAGTAATCTTATAATACTTAAAAAAAAAAGGGTATTCATATTACCAACTATATAACCAACAGCGATTACTATTAATAGTGGAGGATTACCAAAATCTTTTATTACATAATAATCAAGCATGGTAATGTCAGTAATATAAGATAACGTTACTGGAGTAATGGATGATAACCTCCAAACCAACACACCCTTAGGGGTTGTTTGGATCGGGGGTAATTTTCGTTTATTTTGCAAGATTCTTGCATTTGGTTTGCAAGTAATAAAATATTACAATAATCTTTTATTGCAAATAGTGTTTACTGTTAGTAATGTGAAAGATAATTTTATTATATTGTTAGGGGGTGTTATTAAAACATTACTGAGGTAATCTGATTTTTCTACCCATTTTGCCCTTAATTAAAAACCATTTTGGACACAATTGCCCTCAAATGTCTACCAAATAACAATTACCCAGCCCCCTACATCTAAGAAATTAGCTAAAACACCCCAGCCACAAAAAATTTAAAAGTTAACAAAATACTCCCAGCCACCGAAGACTACTGCTGACCGTGACTCACCACCGCCGACCACCAGTGTCAGTCGCCATAATGGTACACGACCAGCAAAATCTGGCCAGTCGTGCACTGGTAAGGCTTTTTTCCAGCCACGGATCACAAATCCATGGCCAGAAACGGCCAGATCTGGCCGTGAAATGATTATATATATGGCCGTGAAACAGTCATGGATTTGTGATCCATGGCCATTTTTTTCTTTGTCGATGCATGGCTTGTTAGAGTAGGTGCCCTAGAGCCAATCAATTATTGTAGAATTGACTCTTTGTAATAATGTTCATTAATCAATAAAAGGCATTTTATTCTATATCGTGTAAATCATCATTGTATGTATTGATATATGTCCTTAGAATGGTAGAACCATGACGAGGGTATCAAGTATTTCAAATCTTGATAGTGAGAACCCTATGACCACATATGGTGATCATTCTAGAAATGTCTGTAGCCCTAGTATTATTCTGAAGTAAGGGCACAAATAATACGGTAAGGCTATCATAGTGTTGAACGACCTTGTCGAAAGGTAGTGACTAATCTCATTTGTCAAGGTTGTTTGGTGACAACCTGGTGCAACACATGGGTGCTTGCTGTAGGCAAGTTCACTGAACTGGCCCACCAGAGGATTTCATATGGATAGTAACTCTAGTGTCTATGGAACAAATCATCTAACGAATGGCGGTGCATGTGATCCTTAGACTTGAGATCACCAGAGCGTCTTGTGCACCGATTGGTGTAGTTTGACACTAGCCCAGCGCAGTTCTATTCAGAGCTTTCAGTACGGTAGTGATTGGCTGCATCAAGGAGTGTATCAAGACTATGGTGGATCGACAGAGGATTCATCACTCTCGGGTACGGGAGAAGTTATCTCACGGTGCAATTCAGTAATGGCAATGACACTAAAACTGTGGTTGTTGCTCTATCTAGTTTATAATTATGGTCATTGGTCCAGTAACTGAATACATACATATCGAGAGTAACTGAGGTTGACACTATTTCTATGCCTCAATCTCATTGAGATAACGGATGATGAAATGATTGAATTGTACGGTAACCATATCATTGACAGGTAGCTGCATCGCTGAATCCGAATCTATCAAGTGGCCATGATGCCTTGCTAAGGGCCAATCTTGGTCTGTGTGTAGTGAGACGATTAGTTAGTGTTAATCATGATACTACACACTATCGGTATGATAAGGAGCTTACGGGTCACACACATAAAAGATAATTTAAAAACCAGTTTATAAGAAGGCGTTTTTGTCTTTTTAGGCGAAAGGGTATTTTGGTAATTTCACAATACAATTAAATTTGCTGAGGTCGTAGCCTTTATTTAATTTGTTAATAAAATTAAATAAGTGAAATTATATTTAAATATGTGTTCGCATATATTTAAATGAATTATTGTTATGGTAAAATGTTAATATATATAAGATATATATATATATATTGATTGAATTTAATTGATATAATAATAATAATAATAATAATTAAAATATCTAAATGGGGATGTTTGGACATAGGGGTTGTTTGGGTTGGTGCCCAAGCTCAGTCCATGATGGAACAGGGTATAGTGTACACTATATAAGTGCAACACTTTGTGAAATTAATTAATTAATTTCATTTCATTCAAAAGAAAAACCTCCAGCCCCCTTTTTCTGTCCCACGCCAGATTGCCTTTTTGCTTGAAACAAAATTTGCTTGATTTGTTCTTGGTTCTTAAGGCTAAAGAGGATATAGCAAATCCCTATTGAGTTCCTTGGGGTTATCTTTGTGTAGACTACATTGGTTCGATCCTACTCTTGGGTCGGTAGTGAAACCCGTTCAGAGACAAGTTGGAGGAGCCTCCAAACGTGCGTATGATTTTTTGACTCTAGATTGAATTTTCTGCAGATTCTAATATAACGTATAAACTGTAAATTTTTGCCCTGATCTTGGTTCTAAGGAACGATCCATGTTGTAAATAATTTTTGTTTTTCGCTGCTATGACTTAATCGTTTCCTAACATGGCCAGCCATATACGGCCAGTCGTGCGCCATTCCGTCAACTGTCAGCGACAGCTAGCAGTGGTGGTTGGCTACTAGCAGTGGCTTGGGGTGGGTGGGGATAATTTTGCTATAAATTAAAGTTTTATATGGTTGGGGTGTTTTAGCAAAATTTCAAATGTAGGGGTTAAAAGAATGATTCAAAAAATAATAATAATAAATACGATTATATTAATATTTAAAAAAGAGGGCAATTTAGTAATCTATATAACATACTCACCAATTTATCCACTCAACCAAACTTATTATTCACCAATTTATTCGAACTAATCAAACATATTGTTATTGTCTAAATATTCCCAGTAATCTTTAAGGTGATTTTTCTTTTCGTTAATATAATATACCTTTACAATAAAAA